ATAATAGCTATTATGAGACTCTCAAGCCACTATTATTAGTAGAGGATTTTGAATATCGTCTTGTTAATAATAACATGATTGTTAATGAGTTGTCAGTGCTATTTTTCCTGTTTATGGGTCCAAAGCTCAATGTGATAACCCCTGACGACCGGAAGTTGTCCTCAGTTTAACTATTAAAAGTACAGGGTTTCTTTGTGTGAAGTCAATTTATTTAATTTAGGTAGGTATAAGGATTACCTTTTTTTGTAACTGTAAAGGCCAATGGGTTGTTAATATAATTTGTCTACATTTTATTTGAATGTGGCGAAAAAGTGCTATCATTCACCTTCTTAACTCATTTCAGAAAGATGTGAGATCATAACAGGGAATGTAAAGTTTATTCACTTAGTAAATTTAGGATTATTTAAAGTAATGAAATGTGATTTGTAGTGTTCTGGAAGAGGACATGCTCAACTCAGCAATGTATCCTAAAATGTAATGTGCTGTGTTGATAAAAACGAAAACAATGTGTGTTGAGGGTAAGCTCTTTGTCACAGGTTCAATCCCTGAGACAAATACCGTGACTTAACTACCAGGTTGTGAGCTGGCGAGACATTAAAATTTCTCACCACCAGGACATAAAAACAATCACAACAATCAACATCTCTTTTGCAAGAGGCTCAAAGAGGAAGAGCGCTCATCTTGTTTGTTACAACCTCAGCATCAGGTGGTGCTGTCCTGTAGGTCTGGAAGAAAGACGTCACCATAATGTCAGTGCTTTGTTTTAAGATGCAAGAGAAAAACAGGCGGACAACTCGGTAAATGTCAATCTGGGGCGGAATTGACCAGGCAGTTTCATCAAAATAGTAAATTAAATACTTCAGAGAGAGGCACACAATAGTAGGGTTGCATTGCCTCAACCTCTTATTACACCTAAAAATGCCCTTTTTCAGAGTAAAGCATAGACCACATGACCTGTGGTCATCTAGCGTCCAATGAGTCATCCTTCACCCTGCTTTTGAGCGTGTGTGTGGCACATGCAAAACAAGTGTCTGAGAGGGTAATTTTCCCTAAGGTGCAGAGTTCTGGGTGCATTTCCTGGCAAGAGATAAACCTGTGGCATCTCTCAGACCGCTCCAGTAAACAAGCGCCTTTCTCGCAATGTAGGTGTGTAGTTCTTGTGGATCACAGTTTTCCTAAAGGGTTTGGTCTGAATGATCCAATAAGCATGAAAATATTTGGCACGTCTGGATCAACCAAAGGCCCCAGGTTAGAAATGAGCTGCTGGGATTAGGATTCCATCTCCTATATCTGCAATGTGGGCAGTATTTCATTGTATCCTGGAATATGACATGGCTCCATGTTTACTGTGTGGTCATTCGATTAAAAACACAACTTAATTCAGGAATGTGCATGATGCAAGCACAATATGAATGATTTTGATGCAGGTGATTAAACAGGACACACCTGAATGACCTCATGATATCAGTAGATTCTCTGCTTTGCTGAGACATCTTCTCATATTTCCCAACTGAAGTTACCCTTCCTCAAATTGCTACAAACCACTTACCACTGAGTAAAAGCTATGGATTCTGGGGGCTCTGACTTCTTGGCCCTGAGACACACACTCGCTTTGCTGTTAGCTATTCAGCCGTCTGTGGCTACCTGGCTGGTTGACTGATGGACAAACAGAAAGCATGTGGCCAAAGATCTCATTGATTCCCTGTGATAGTCCAATCGACATGGGCAACATTTCCAAAAGCAGGGTTTTCTCAAATGTTTGAGTTGTGCTGTCATGAAGATCCCACTGATGAAAACTCCATGGACATACAGACAATTTTTTAGGTGCACTGCAGATTTAAATTACGTGGCATCGTCCTCACAACCTTAAGAATACAAAGAAAGGCCCTCTGTCCTCTTCTGGGCCGTAAAGCTTTTGACTTGACTTTTGTCCACAACTTAATTGGATGTTCAGACTGAAACAGGGATTGATTGTATCAGACAGGCTCCATATTGTGCTCATGTGAAACTGATACAGGAAAGGTGGAGGGCCATTGTGGCTTAAAAAAGTACTTCCCATCCACAAAATGTAACAGGTGGATGAGACACAAAATGTGCTTTTTGACCTTTCGCTTCCTGGAAGATTCTCTCAAATCCTTGATGACTTTATTTGTCTGGAAGTCACTTATTAAGCAGGCTACATGCTTGGTCTGCAACAACACCTAGTTTATAACAAGTTAATATAAATGTGTTTTACCAGAGGTCTCATGTTTGCAGTCAGTCATATCATGAACCTCCAGCACTGAGAACAATTTGCAGGTTCAGCTTCCAACTGAAGTATCACGTGTATATATAGCCAATAATGGAGGCTATGATACAAGAGGATGTGTTTCAATTGGATAATGAGTGGGTGGCTGAGAGGCAGCAAAGGGAGAGAAAGACACTGTAATTACATACGTTTGGGGTTTTCTTTCATAGTAGGACGCAAGATCATAGTGATCTGAACAGCTCAATGCACCCAACTGGTTGTTAACCACTTTTAATTGTCCGACAGAACTGAGGGCAGAACTCTGATGTGATTTGAACATTTCTTTCTCTGTAACATGTTTTCCACTGTCACATGTCGCCACAAACATGTTTTGGCACCATGTGTTTTATATGTAGTTTATGATTCCCTGGAAAACACATCGCTCATGTGCATATGTAACATAGATTAATGATTAAATTGTCCTGGGTCTTTAAATGGAGACATGTGGAATTGCTTCTTTGACCTCACAGCGTTTATGATGCACAACAGGGGTTTATCCGCCTTGACCCTTGGCTCACGCAACGTCTCGTCAAAGGACAATGACACAGAGCTTTTGCTTACATGCATTAGGTGTGGCCTTTCAGTGCGGGATTACTGAGACTTGCCGCACTGTGTTTACAGGATTATATCAGCTCTACACACGAGACGAGAGGTCATAAGCAAGAGACAGAGAAACACGTGTGTGCTTCAAAACACAGGGAACTGTCGTATTCAGTTGAGATAGCGTTGCCAGGTGATGAAAGTGGGATGGGTGGTTTTTGGGGGGTTTTTGATGATGACACAGAGACAGTTGAGATTTTCTTGTAAAATCAGTACTTAAAGGTCCAGTGTGTAACATTTAGGTGAAAGGGATCTATTGGCAGAAATGAAATAAATCCTAGTGACATTCTCAGCAATGTGTAATCATCTAAATTGTAAATTGTTGTTTTCTTTACCCTGGAATGGGTCCTTTATATTTAAACACTTTATATTTACATCAGGAGTGGGTCCTCTCTACAGAGGCCGCCTTGTTTTTTATAGTAGCCCAGACACCTTTTGAGTTTTTATGACTGAAGGCTACCACAGGTTCTCCTTCATGTTCGGAGAGGGGAGAGTGACAAACACTGAACCTTCAAATTTTAAACTTAATCGTTTTTATTATTTAATAACACTGCATGCCCAACTCTGTACATTATTGGTTACAATATATTATCAATGGAAACTCAATCATTTCACATGTGCAAAAGTTTTTGAATTTGAAAAATATATACAGGGATTATTAAATACCACTTTATTGTAATTCAGACAGAATGTATTACTGCAGTGGGATATTTCACAGTGTCAACACTTATTGACATATTGACTGAAATATTGAAAATGTAGTTACAGTACAATGAGTCAGTGTGTTTGCACAAGGCAGATACAGAGTGGTACATCTGCAGTGATAATACAGTTCAAAGTTCAACTGATGCTGGAAGTGTCACAAACAGGTCAACACAGGGTGTATGTGTTTACTTGTTGTCAGGTCTGTGTTGTAATGAACATATCTAAATACCAAGATGGCTAACAATTGTAAAATACAGTACTGACAAGCAGTAGTGGTGGAAGACGCATTTAACTAAAAGTAGTATCATTATAATATAAAAAACCCATTGCAAGTAAAGGTCTTGCATTCAATATTTTACTTAAGTTAAAGTTCAGAAATATTGACACAAAAATCAAAGGTACAGCATATAGACTACCCTTATTACATGTAGTTATATCATTACTTATGTATTAACATGATTGCTGAATTTAATTTATTGTATCTGGTTGAGGTGCTGATAATTATACCAAGATTAATCTGTAACTATTTACCATTTATTGCAAAAATCTGATGTTTTCAGTGTAAAATCTTATAAAACATAAAAAGCAACTTAGTAACTACATGTGTCAGATAAATAAATATTTGTAAATATCTGTTGTGGTAAAGTAGAAGTAGAAGTGATATAAAACATAAATCCTTAAGTAAAGTACATCTAAACTGAACTTAAGTGCTGGACTTGGGTAAATGTGTTTAGACAGAATGGCTTATTGCTACTAAGATGTGACTACATGTGATTGTGTAAAACATTTTTAACCACATGAGCTCTTCCTTTAATTACCCTTGGCTTAAAAAACTGTTGGTTTGAATGGTGTCTTTAGAGACAACTGCTAAATATAAATTATGACAGTATATAAATCCTGTCAAACTGTTTTATGAGCATTAAAGGGTCTTTCTCTAAAGACAAACATTTTTTACATTTAATTGTTCACCCACTCTTCTTCCATTCCCACTCACATTCATCACCACTTTCTCTCTTTTTTAACGGTATTCAGGTGTCAAAGAAGACAAGCCTTGTGGGGCTTGTGTCCTAACAGCAGTCTGACACACACTGTCCACCATGTGCTCCTACGCTGCTGCTCTGACCAGAGATCTTCGTGTGGCACTTTGTGGCTATCAAGGGGAGGGTGTGCGTGGATCATCTCCTCTGGTGGAGCCAGGCTCACACCCCAGTGACGTTGGCCCAGGCAGGGTAGGAGTCCAGGTCAAACATGGCCTTGCCCCAGCTGTTGATGGCCAGTGTGATACAGACGATGCCAATGATGTTCATGACTATTCCTGTTCTGGCCTGTTAGAAGAAAGAAGCATATACAAATAAAGTCGTAGTTGTTTTCTTAAATTAGAAGACAGATACCTGTGATCAATACCTGATGAGTATCTGTGGCCTGTTCAGAACAGAATGCAGATCTATTTCCATAATTTTGCCTTGAGGTTACCATTTGAACCAGTACCTGTAAATGTTTTGGATGTGTGCACCCAACACTGTTTGCATAAAATCCCCATACTTTCATATCTGTCAGGTAAATATAAAGCTGCAGCCAGAAGCCTGGTAGCTTAGATTATTTTAGGATAATGCCTGGAAACATGGGGGAAACAGCAAAACTGGCTTTGTCACAAAACTGCCTGTTTAAAAATAAGTATGACTCTTTGGCTTCAGATTAAACAACCTAAACATAATGAAGCAACCTGTATTTATGCTCTTCTAAGATAACTCTGCCCTCAGAAATTCAGAAACAGTGAATTTACAGCAACGGCATCCTAACCATACAATTTAACAGAATAAACACAACACACCACTGGCACACTCACCATGTCAGCAACTTTGAGGTATCCATAAGAGAAGACGATGGCGTTCGGAGGAGTGGCAACAGGCAGCATGAAGGCGAACGAGGCACTCAGAGTACAGGGCACCATGACGTACAGTGGGTTGATTCCAATGGACTGAGACTGCAATAATGATACAGAAAGCTTCAACGGTCTGAGACAGGGGATGAACACAGCTTTGATCACAAAATCCTCCATTTCTCCATCTGGCTCTTTTTCTGCAACCGTAATCACTGAGTCATAACTCCGAGGGAAATGTGTGTAATTCTAGGCGGAGTGAAAACTCTCATTAGGTGGGTGTAATTAAGATGTAATTCCTTCAAGCTTGGGGCTGAGTCATGATATCTAAAATAGAAGAGCACGACAAATGTGGCGATTATGGCAGACTGCTGAGATGGTGAAAACATAACTCTGTGGACTTTGCTTCTGAATTATATATCCCGTTGTGCAGCAACTTACACATGCACAATCATTTCTGCCTCTCAAAATAAACAAAGGGTGAAAAGACTTCTTTAAACAGTAGGTTGTTTATATCAGCTCACCGCAGTGAGAGCATTTTCTCTTGTCAAAAGTTTAAATCAAACGGTAAAGATTCCCTTGACAGGATGACACAGAACGTGACATGCCACAAACCGGGACTGCCACAAATTGTCATCTCTCCTCTCTTAGCTGTATGTAACTGATCCGATGCTCTTTTCTTCCACTCTTTTCACACGAGTGTCCTGTGCACCCATTTGGCGTCCCCCTCTATGAATATCTATGTGAATACCCCTGCTTGGCACCATCTTTTGCAATCCAGCTTTGGTGTTCTCTCGAGTGCTCAACTAGAAGGCACAGTAATGCCATTCTTCAGCAGCAGCGGGGTGGGCAGCACCACAATTCATTGAGCTGGATTGGTGTGTTTGGCAGGTTATCTATGGGAGGAGGGGCCCGGGTAAGGGGACCAAACAGATTCAGCCTGAATGAGAAACTAGATGGGCAACCAAAACAGGGAAATAGGCTGATTCTCACTGGGAGTGGTTTCAACACTGAATTGCAATTGGTGAAATTGGTTCAAAAGAGGTTACATGGCAAGGCACATGTCGGTGAAGATTCCAGATCATCCAGGTCAGGGTGTTTCTGAACGCTACACAAAGGCAATTGGAGTTTATTTTATTGAGGTTCTTCAAGATGTTTCACCTCTCATCCGAAAAGGGTTTGGGCCCCAAGAGTTATGATGGGAGTGGGTGCTGGCTACATCCACAACAGTATGTTTTAAATGCATTACTGATGCTACAGTTACATCTGATATCCAGATTACTCCAGTTTTCAAGGTCCTTGTAACACCCATTACGTTTGTGTGGAATTTATTACATTTGTGGGATTATTACATAAAAGCTGCAGAATTAAATTACGTATGTAATTTTGTTACATTTTTTGGGAAGGTGAGAATCTTTGGTTTATTTAATTACACACCTGCCAATGGGTTCCTCTCAGCTCATTAGGAAATATCACGAGTTTGGGAAAAGGGGGTCAAAACGAACAAAAAACATTGTGTGCAATTTAGGCTGTGCATTAACAAGTCCACCTTTTACCATCTCTTCCACTTTCTCTATCCTGCTGTCTCTTCTTTTTCCACGCAGCTTTATCATTCCTGGTTATGTCACAGAATTGCTTTGTGGCAAATCTATTGAGTAACAGCTATTACATTTGCAGGAAATTACGGTTGTAGCAGGCAACTGTTATCTTTTTCGGGAAATGTATTACGTTTGTGGTTTATTACATTTGTGGGCTGTTGGTGGGTGTTGCACGCCTCAAACCGAGACTTTTGTAAACACTGTGGAGACCGATATGCTTCCTGTTTGGGTTTTATCTGTAGATGCTCGACTACGGGATCCAAAAGATCTGCCTAGTGGTCTGGCCGAGCATAGAAGTCCCTGGTCATAGTTTTCATCATTCCACCAGCACACAGAAAACCAGTATCTTTGAAAGGTCATGTGATATGCATATTCAGGTGTGTTAGTACAAACAGAGTTAAAAACATGTATGTGTGGACGTAGCCACAGACGTTCCACTTGGGTCTCGATGGCTTCTTTCACTCCTGTGTTCAAACCATAAGTCTTGGGGACATTTCACTCTCTCTCTCTGAATCTGAAAACTTACCATTGAGGCTAAGACAGGTAGGAAGAGCGTCGCAGTCGCCACATTACTCGTACACTCAGTGAAGGTAGCAATCAGTAAGCACAAAATGATAGCAATTGCCCAGGGAGGTATATTTTGCAGGGGAGTCATTTGATCGCCCATCCACTTTGAGAGTCCTGATTCCTAAAGTGAAACACAAAACATTAGGGCTGAGCTCTTTCGTGGACGTTGTCTTCATTATCTGTCGGGTGTTTTCAAACTTTCTCATTTACTATGAGTGCACTTTAGTTCACGTCTGTGTATAAGAATGTGTTCAGGCTCTTGTATGGCAATAAATGTGCAACAATAATAAAACATTTGAACTAGGCTGATTAAGATATTACACAGGGCTGAGCAATATGGCCAAAAATGTTATCAAGATGAAAATGTTCATATCAGTAGATATCAGTAATACTCACCATAGATGTCATACTATTATTTATTTTAAGTTTGGCGAAATTATGATTGTGGTTTTAGTCTTCTTTATCGTGACACACCCGATAAACAGCATTTGCTTGATCAATAATGTGTTGTACCTTCTCACTGTGCTTGCACAATGCATGAACATTACATCCAAAACTGAATGGCATGCTGCAGGTTCTGAATTGGCATTCTCTTGTGCATAGGTAGGCAATGTACACCCAATACAGGAACAATACACTGCCACTAAAAATAAAAATTAGCTACTACACAGAGCAGTTATAAAAGGTATAAATAAATATACTGAATGGCCATTGCAGAAAATCAAATCAAAAATCTCAAGGATTCTAACTTTTAACACATTCGATGATGAACCCATTATATATCACTTCCCTACCTTAAGACATTAAAATTCTTCCCATAATGTATATAAGCTCTTGGCTCATTTTACTAAGATCTTGCCACTTACCTCACTGCCTTTGGCCAGAGCAAAACCTCCTCCAAGAAGAAGCACGATGCCCCACGGTAACTTCTTCTGAGCAACTTTCCAAGTGAGCAGAGGTGGAGTTGGGCCAGCAGGTGGATGAGGAACTATGGAGCCATTATAAATGTGATCAATGTCAAATCATTACATAGAAACCCCACCCCCCTCTCAAAACTTGTATAATATTATCTGAAATGATAGATATTCTAGCAGAATGACGGCTCAACCTGTGTCAAAGTTGTGAGTCCTCCTTGAACAGAAACGTGGGGGTTTAGACGGCAGAACAAAGAGAAGGACGGCGATGAAGATGGCCACTGTGGCATCTGTCACATACCTGAGCGGTGGAGTGAGGAGAGGGTTCACAAACACTGTTTTATAAGAGATTTAACAAAATTGATAGAGTGAAATGTTACTTTGGAAATACAAATACAAAACTTCAGTATACACACTCTGCTTCAGAGTTGAAGATTACTGTCGCCCAGCCATTGACAAAGCCTGGATCCCTGGTGAACCACAACACCACCAGCAGAGTGAAGAGCCCCAGGACACTGATCTCTCCGAAGGACATGGGCCCCAGCAGACGGTGCTGCTCACGGATCACATTATAGGCAGCGATCTCCTTCTCTGTCTTCACAGATCCACAGCCCCACGTCTTCTTAAAGCTAGAGGAAACACACAGAGGAAATAAAAATCTGTGTCACCTCTACACTCCTCATGCGGTTAAAGTCTCTTGATGTTGATTCAAGTCTCTGTCACTATAATTAGGCTTTAACCATCAAGAAACTCACTTAAATCCCATGAAGACAAATTGTAGCCAAAGCCAGGCCAGCGTAAGCATGAGGATCATGTTTGGGAAGGCAAAGCCAAACCAGGAGGCAAAGTTAATCACATCTCCATTTTGTGGAAACAGCCTAAGCAAAGACAACAAAAGGAAATGAAATATGTTAATTAACATGAAGGTAAATACTGGAGTACTACTCCGACATAAGGAGAAAACACTTACTGGTTCATCTGGCCTTTGAGCACCAGATTGGGACCAGTTCCTGTCAGAGTGGCGGTGCCTCCAATGCTGGCAGCGTAACAAACACAAAGGGTCATCCCTTTACACATCTTCTGCCTTTCTGCTGCCTCCCTATGTCTGGCAGCCTCCACTGTGGCATCTAAGAAAGTCACCACCACAGGGCCTTCGAACAAAAAGCAAGGAATAAAAGTGTCACTTTCAGTAATAAGGAGAGAAAGTCAATGACGCTGTGCAAGTTCTTTTCAGTGTTTTCTTGGCCAAACAAATTGGAACAGTTCTTGGCCGTGGCCCACCTTGTCCTTCGCTCTGTTTCTCTGTCTGAGGCTGTTTGCCATCACTCTCTGACATCTGATCCTGCTCCTCTGAGCTGAGGATCTGAGGTATTTCTGCCTCGCTGTTATTGAGCTGACTCAACACTGCTTGGACGATCGGCACCATCATAGCCGTGGTGGCCGTGTTACTGATCCACATGGACARGAAGGCTGTAACACCCATGAATCCCAACATCAATCTGCAAAGATAAATGAAAAACATGTTGGTGGCCTTGGACTGAAAGACGTCAGGTGTTTTACAACAACAAAGGAAAACAATGTCAGACATTGATGACGGAAATGAAAAACTCCCTTATCTACATCAGGCATGATGTGACTGATTAGATATGCTTTGTAAATGTAAGTCTTAAAAGATGATAAGCCAAACAGACAATCTGCTGTGAAGGTGTGGAACAGAGCCACTCACAGCGCTGGACGCACACCGACAAAGAGCAGCACCCTCAAGGCGATGCGCTTGTGCAGATTCCAGTGCTCCACGGCAACTGCAACCATCAGCCCCCCCACAAACAACAGGTTTGTGTCCTTCAGGTACTGCATGCACACCTGAAACAGCAGGGCAGCACAGAGGAAGACGTGTTTGAGCAAAATTGCACCATCGCTGACCAAATTCTGCACATGTAACGTTTGCTAAGTTCACCTACGTCTTTGGATTGCATGATGCCAAAAAAGGGGAAAAGGAGGGTTGGGAGGAGAGCTGTTACAGCCAATGGTAGAACCTCTGTGCACCAGTACGCGGCCATCAAGATGATCACATAGGCACATTCTGCCTCCTGCGGACAAAAATGTATTGGTAAATACACACAAACACACATTTTTAAATTGATTTTAGAGTTGAAATCCTTTGTGAAAACGGACAATGGTGCAAAATCAGTAAGTGTTACATAATTTTTAATGGGATGTGATGGTGGTTTAAAGGGTACAGATAAGTGGACTTCTTTGTGGGATTGCGCACTTTATGAGCTCAATAAAAACCCCTGCAATTGTTATGATTATTATTTTACAACATAATAAATTGACATATTTTTAGATTCATTCATGATAAATCCTTTGTAACAAAACTGTCTATCACCAGTGCTCAGTGAATCCTTATCTATGCACACAGCACCTTTGTTCATATTGGACCCAGGCATGCCTCCACTCTGTGTCCTTGTCTGTGCCTATCATAACATTCATAACATGCTTAGAGCCTGAGTGCAGGTCTGTGCATCACATGTGGACTCGGATCCCTTTGACTGTATGTTCCCACGCTGGACGTGACCCCTCGTGTTAAAAACAAGGAGTTAAAATAACAGGACTCCAGAGTGCAGCAGCCTCAGGCAACACCGAACAGTTCACATGCACATCAGGCACTGCGCACTTGGCGCATCAACAGGTGCAGGAGGGAACCAGTGCAGACTCAGTGCAGACTCAGTGCATTTTATGGCGAAATAAAAACGTCTGTGGCGCAGTGAAAGTGATGTAATTCCTTTGTGTGTAAAAAGTGCATACATAAGAATTGATCGTCTAATCTCTAATCAAACAGGTATTTTAAACATTATCATTAAAGACATTTTCTCATGAGGTGTGTAGTGTTGGCAAATAATGACAGAGCCAACGCTTGAATGGTTTTACGCACGGATTCAAGCAGTCAATGTGGCCAAGTTTCTTTTTCTACATCAATGTGTGGTTTCAACCTCAGTTATTTTTAAAACTACATACCGGCGTCCCGATCACCAGAGGCAGCGGGAGAAGGAGAAACGGAGCAGAGAAGAGGATCAGTCCGTTCTTCGCGGAGCGCAGATATGTGAGGAATGCCATCCTGCAGGAGCACGGAGAATAGGAGGCTCCTGCACCATGGATCCCGCTTTTTGAGGCGCACAGGGGAGGAGAGGAGGAGAGGGGGAGGGGGAGTCCCGGAGAACATAAAGGAGGGAGGCGAATCACAATGAGGAGAAAGAGAGAGAGAGAGAGATCCAGGACATCTCTCTCTCTCTCCCTCTCTCTCCCTCAGACTCACACACACACACACACACACACACACACCAAAACAAAAGAAGTGACAGACAGGATTTATTCATCCAGACAATCAACAAAGTTTCCTGTGGCCATATTGACAAGTGCTTCATAGTCATTATTCAATTGACTTCTTACAGAGTTTACTCTACTATTATTATTATTGTTATCATTATTTTGTATATTAATATTAGTATCCTCTGTTTATTGAGCACATGCTGGACACTTCAGTATGTTTCTGATTAGTTATAGTTTCATCTATACAGAGTCACGCTCAGTGAAAACCTCTCCCACACAAATACTGAAGAGGTGCAGACGTTTGAATCATTACCATTTCGCCTCTTTCGATTTGTCAGAATTGATAAGTAATGGGCGGTCAGAGCCATCGCCTTAATTTTAGAAATACTGAGGTGATGAGTCCTAATTCCCACATTGTGACTCCTACCAAATTACCTTTCAAACAGCCATCAAGGAAAAAAGTTTGAAAAAGGTTTTCTTATTCTCATCTCTCTTAAATAATTTTTTAGAATTTTTGCTTTTTATTTTCTATTTCATTCATTTAAATTCGCTTTAGGTTTGACCTCCCTTGATGGTCTGCATGCTGTTTCATCTGCTGCTACACATTCATATAATTGAACTGGTAAAAATAATAAATTCATTTTAATTCAGAATGTGTTTGAGTAGTCAAATTTAAAGATAAAAAATCACATCAGTGACAAACATAGTTGTTTGGCCCACTGGATACAAACTCTCTATTGTGTAATCTTGATGACATTAGAAAAGAGTTTATGAAATGCAATGCATACTGGGAATAATCCAACAATGATTGTATACAGTACATGCAACAACTATGTGTTGCAACTCTGTCCCAAGACTTTTGTGTAACTTCTGCAGCAAACTGCTTGAATGTGCACCAATTTGGTCAATTGTATTTACAGTTATTACAGAGAATATTGTCCCCTCTGCTGACATGAATACTTAAGTTTAAATACCCTTTACCAAAACACACCTCTATATACTTAAAGTCTTACAGGTAAAATTAATTCCTCCATTTTATAAAAGGCCTTGAAACCAATTTGCACAAAATGTCTGCATGCATATGAAGTTGGTAACTGGTTTTGTTATTTGAGTTTGTGTGTTTCGCAAATAGTGAATACCAGTTAATACTTGTATAAGGAGAGGAGGAAAGAGTTGCTGTGCTTTATGATGGGTTCATGATGGTACAGTCCAAACCTAGAACTAATCCATCACCCCATGAGGAGACAGTTTTATAACTGCCCACTTTGAAATGATTTATATGTTTTAAACTGTGAAGGGATTTATTGCTGAATAATTTCGTTGACATGCACTTTTTGTTTCTGGTTAAAAACGATGTGTAATGCGGCACAGTTAAAGTTACTAGCTGCAAAGTGTTAGCTTCGGCTACAGTGAATGTGCTAGCTTAAAAATGTTCTGAGTACACGAAAATGATAGAGATTGCACTGTTAACCCTTATAGATGCCGCATGTGCCATAAATAAAACCTGTCGCCACCATTCCCAAACTACTACGCCTCCGTGTCCGTTCCTTTGGAACACAACCGCCCGCACCGGATGGGCAATTTAACAAGCAACACAACGCAGAGCAACAGCGGGTCGGTGGAGGACATGAGAGAGGGTTACACTTACATTAAAGAAATGTATTTATGAGAAATCACGGTTCACTTTTTGTATGAAAAACATCTGCAGCTTTTGCTGTGACTCTGTGTGTTGTTTGTTTTTCTTTTAAAATATGTCAAAGGTCACCTCCGGATTGTTTTCTCTGCCTAGTGAACCATTTACCTTTTCCTCTAGTCAATTCATGTGATGACAACCAGTGATGTGACACAATACAAATAGACAAATTAAATGTATTGCTAGGCTACTGTAGTGCATTGAAATGTAAGGCACATTGTGTCCACTCCTGTTTCATGTACTGTACGTTTAGGATATTTTCAGCAAATATTTGAAAAACCGACGCTGAGCTTTGGGACATGAAACACATTCTACCACATTCTGACATGACTTTTATAAAACTACAGAGAGCAGAACTAAGAACAGAACATGATATGCTGAGCCAAGGAATTCCATGTTCTTCGGAAGAAGTGTTTCTGTAAAAGTGCTGACAGTAATTATGTTGCATCGGTGGTATGCTGAGATGAGAGAAGCTTTCAGTTTGTTTCCCTGTAATTCTGAGTTTATAAGCCAGTGTGGGCTTTCAACAATCACACAAATAGACCACGCAATTGGCTAATTGTTTACGACATGCAAAAAACAGTGATTCGTAGAGCTTTGACAAGAACTGCATTCTGCCACTCTGTTCTGTGATCAGTTTTATCTGCTCCGCATGCCCCCATACTTTCAAAGCACCCATTTATAAAAATATAAACATTTAAATACTATTTTAAAAAGTGTCCTGTGTGCTTTTTCTTCCAATTTACCTGCAACAGCATCTTAATGATCTTGTTCATATTAATTTAATCACATCTGTATTACATTTACAACATCGACTTGATACACGTCCTCACAA